GCTGTGCTGCTCTGCCAAAGTTATGCTAAGCTCAGAATTACTGTAGTTGTAGTGGGGTAAACAAAATCAAAATACACTCCTGCTGTTGCCTGAGCTCCTTCCTTTTCAAATGGTGGGTGCAGAGTAACAGCCACAAAACCTGTAGCTCAAATCAAAGCAAGTTATGCACCAGGCTCAGTGCCCAGGGTTAGGTATTTCCCATCCTTTAGCCTAAAAAAAAAAGATGGACATGAGCCTCGTGGGGCCCCGGGCAATGGAAGGGATAAGCAAACAGGAGGACATCAAGGGACTGTCACTAGCAAAGATAACAAAATTAGCGAGTAAATGAACAGGCAAGTCAGAACATCAATATGCACAGTAATAAGTGGCAATGATTCACCAGAGATCTGTTGTTTTAATGATGCTGTTGTAAAAATGATGGCCCTGAGCTATTTCAGACCACGTATACTGAATTTTGGCTGATGCTTATCAGTTTATATGCAAGAAAATGTATAGCATGCAACCTAAATGGAACAATCCTTTGGACAAGAAGAAATGGATTGCAGGTGCAAACAAGCATGAAATGAAAATCTACTAATGAGTTTCCATTAGTAGCTAAATACATAATCGAATAATTTTTAGCCAACACAGGGCAATGAGAAAATCAATTTATTCCTCATAAGTACCACTATATGGATTGATGCTCTAGTACAGCTAGAGCTGGTCTGGTTAAGTGAAAGCTGAGCTTCAGCTTCAGTTAAAACTCAGCTGATGGCAGCAGAACATATTAGTGATTTCCCAAGTATATTTGATCCAAGGGTTAGAAATGTCTACACAGCATATCTAGCTCCTGCTTGGAGAGCCAGCTCAAGCCTGTCTTCCTTCCCATCTTCCTCTAAAACCCTAAATGGGAAACAAATAAAATTTTTGTAACCTTTTATAGCCACTGCCATAACCCTGTGTGTCAGCCAGCATCCTTTATCTCTCACCAGCTGGAAATCTCACATTTTCATTGCCCTGAATCACCAGATGCATTCATCAAACATGACAAATGCCTCCAAAACACTAAATCACACCACTCCATCTCAATGGGCTACATAATCATTGTCATACTGACAATAAATCTGAAAGATTCTGTGTTCCAGACTCAAATATCTACAGCTTCTACCAGGGCTGAGAAACTGCAGGGGGAAAACTGAATCCTAAATTAGGTTAAAAAGTTTTTCAGTCACTCGGAAATTTGATAAACTCATGAATTTTTGTGAGGCTTTCTGATTTATTTTTAGAAGTAAAGTATTATATATTTTTTTTCTACCCACAGGAATGATTCATGGAGTAAGAGCCATTTTCCAAGAATGAGGTTATATCTTAGGAAGTATAAAAATGTAGAAAGGGAAAAAATCCTTCTCTGCTCTCCTGGGGAACTGCCAGTTTGGGGTCCCAGGTCCCAGTGGCTCCGTGCCTGCCCAGGGGTGACATTGTAAGGTGCTGGCAAAGCCCCTGCAGCTTCCAAGGGGAGGGAAATGCAGCAGAGCATCCTCCTCCTTGCTCAGTTGGATGGGACCCTGCACTCAAAAGGCTGTGACAGGAAAACACTGAAGTCACCGTGGGTCAGACTTTTGGTATCACTCAAAGAAAGGACAAGTTGAGCTGTGGACACATGAGCAAGTTGCCCGAGGCATCCCAGATAGCAGCTGAGCTGGGAGAACCACATCTTTCCTGCAGCGAGATCCAGGCAATGCAAGGTAACTTGATAACCTCAATTAAAGAGATTCTCATTTTCTCTGGAGTTGGTAGAGGCCAGTAAATTGGTGCTACCTCAGATAACCTTATTTTATCCAGGACACAAGCAGATTCTAGCTCTCTATACACCAAACTGGTTTTACTTCCATGGAGCCAGTAATCCATGGCTGGAGTGTCTAAACAGACATTTTAAAATTACTTAAGTAGTAGGTGCATGAATTTAAACTTTTCAGAGTTTATAACCCACATTCAAAAGCCTTGTGCTCATATGTAGGGTTGCAGCATGAGCACCTAGAAAGTCTTGGTTTTCAGTCCATACATGAATCTTTAATTTTCTGAAGTATATTTATAGACACACCTGTGTCTGTACATGAAGCAAGCAGAGCACTTGCTGCTCTGCAGTCACACAGCATCTCCTTAGATCTCTGCTGAGTGCTATTTATTGCATTTGGAGTTTTAAGTCAGGTCAAAAAGGAGACTTGCCAGGGATTTTTCACTGTGGTTTTGCCACCCAGTTCCCACTAAAGCTGAGTGTGGGATTTTGCTGTAAAATAGTTGCTGAGTTTGCAAGAAAGCAAAACCTGTGCTGACATCAGTGGGAGCTGTGTATCTGGAATGATTAAAGACCAAAGCCAATGATAGGACTGCATGGGATTAGCCTGGGATCTGGGAAATCAGTACTTTGCTGAAGCAACTGAAGCTTCTTAACAAGGGGCAACTTAAGGTGAAGGAAAACCCAATCCTGCTGATTGTCTGCACCATGAACTTCCACATTCATCTGCCAGCACTGCCCAGTTTGACCTTGAAAGCTGTGATGAATGGCTAGGTCAGAGGGAAGGTCTCCAGCCTGTCCTCACCTCCAAGGCTTTTCTCATGGATGTACCTGGCACGATGGGCCAGACCATCCACTGGCAGCAACAACCTCATCCCCTCCTTCAGGCTCCCAGGTCCTCTCTGTGTTCCTTCTCCCCCCACAAGGTGCTGTGATAAGGAGGTTCTCTTCAGTTGCTATGGCTGTCGACAACTTCCACTACTATTTTTTCACAAGCACCATCAGATTTACTCCAGTGATAAATCCAATGTTCTGTGTAAACACTTATGTCCTTGACAACCTTGTTTTCCATTAGAAAAATGCTGGGACCTGTTCTGGCAATTGGCAGGTAAAAATGCAGCCTGTGTGGGCTGATGCTTTTTAACATAAGTCCCCAAAGGGTAAGGACACAGTGTGTGTCACAGACCCCACCTGCCTGCCCATGCTGCCAAAGGCACTGGTAGCAGGGAACCCAGGTTCTTTTCTGCACTTTGTCCTATTCAGAGTGTTAAGGGGGCCGAGATTAAAATATCTGAAATGTTTTTCAGCAGTAAGGACTCTCAAAGTAATGATTCTTGCAGACTAATTGCTCCCACAACAATTTTTTAACCTGCTGTTTGATGCAGTTTTACCTGCCAAGCTGAAGAGAGGTGTCAGAAAGTTAAACCTGTTTGCACGAGGCTTGTTTGATGTGAAAAGCAGCCAGGAGCCTGGCAGGAGAGGATTTTCCCAGCTGAGAATTATAAAAGAACACCTTGGTTTTAGAAAGGAGTTCAGAGGGGACCATGTAATGCCAGGCAGGCCAGGGTGCCACCACCAGCACAAAGCCTGGGTGCAGGCAGGGCAAGGATGTCTGCTGGCAGCCTGAACACCACCCAGGAGGCTGCTTTAGGTTCTTTTTTTAAGGGCTGGGTTTTGCCTCCTTTCATTCTGATCAGACTTGGGGTGCTGAGAGTCTGCTCCAATTATGCCCACAGAGCCCACAAACCACCCCATAAACTACAACCTGCAGCTGGAGCTTCAGGTGCTCTGGTACCACAGGCAGGTTGCACCTCACAAGCATCCTCCAATGCTCCTGTGCCTTTGGAAAATAGGGGATGGGCCCAGCAGGCTGCCCCCCTTTTGTTTGCTGGCAGTGGCTCTGGAGCAGAAGACATGGAGCATCTGTGTGCAGGGACCTGCTGGAATGCACTTACCTCTGTGGTGCTTCATCAGCTGTTTCCATAAAAAGAGTATTTTTGGAAGGAGCAGAAAAGTGCTTTGTGCAATTAAAAATAGCAAAAAGGGCTTGGGATGGTAGAATGTGAATAACTAAATAACCAAATCAGCTTTCTCTTCTTGGAAGAGATCCACAACACAGATGCTGTTGGGTGTGTTATCTTTTGAGTGGCTCTGTCCTGTTCCCTCCTCAACTGCCTGCACCTCAGACACCACTGTTCTCTCTGCATTGCCACACTCCATTCTTCCAAGTAACAGTCTTTTGAAGAGTAAAACCCCTTTGTCCAAGGCTGAGAAATGGCTGAGGCAGTGGAAGGGGTGCTTGGAAGTCTTCCTGGGAGGTGACTGTCACAAATCCTGCTCAGGACCTGCCCCAGCTGAATGGGTGAGAAGTGCTGCTGCTGCAAACCCCCCTGGGGAGCCTGCAGGCTCTCCTGGTGAAACCCCCCCAGATAACCTCCCTTGCTAAAGAGTGAAGTATGAGCTGCTGTTTTTTTCTGATTTCCACAAGTTAACCTCTGGATGCAAAGCTGCTCCCCCCACGGGCAGCCATCCAACCCAGGTGCAGTTTGCAAGTGAAATTGTCACTGATGTGACAGCACATGTGAGTGACAGGTCTGGAGCTGTGGTTAACAAGGCTGATTTCACCAAGGTGGGCTCAGAGCATTCAGGCTGTGTTCAGGGTCTGTTTGGTCCAGAGCAGATGGGCTGTAGTCCATCTCAGGTGCTGCAAATGCCAACCTGTGCCACTAGCTTCATTCAAATCAAATCTCCATCTTAATGAAACAGCTTTATTTTTGGCATCTAACTTAAAGCAAAAGGAAAGGATGTTCCCCTGGTACTGGCCAAAGCACAAATCAAACCCAGCCACTGTGGATGTGATGCAGCTTTCACCTGAGCTGAACAGTTTGCCTTGTAGGAGCTCTGAGAGCAGTTTCCTCCTTTAAATTTAATGAACTTCGAGTCAAGAACATTGACCAACTACTGTCATTTGTCTCATCTTTCTATTGGTGCCAAAATGAATCTGCCCTTTCTACTTCTATGAAGATGAATGATCAGAGCAGTCACTGAACATCCACTTTTGCTTGAAGTGTTGTGCTTAGCAATGTAAGAGGTTGAGAAATGCTAAGAAATAAGACATTAAGTGTAGGACACTGCATCCATCCATTGAGGGACACAGGAGAAACGAACTCTGCTTGGTCTTTCACCTATTGAATTGTCAGGATGGTGCAGACCTTGTGTGGTACCAATGGACAAACCTTCAGCCATTGGAACAGGCACTTGGCATTTCAAGCAGATCTCTGGAGTTGCCTTCACATGGTATTTTGGGGCTTTGGATCTCTGGGTATTGAAAGGTGTGGAGCTGGGTGAGAATAAAATGTAACAAATAAACAATGACAGGAGAGATATCGGGGGGGATGGGTGAAGGAGGCAGGATTTGGAGTGGGAGGAGAAAAGAAAGAATGTTTTTCCAATTCAGCTCAGCAGTCCCCTGTGTGTGGGCTAATTTTGGAGATAATTGTTACATGATTTCCTGAATATAATCTGTTGTTATCTGTGCTCTGCAAAATAAACCCATGTCTAATTCTGGAGAAGCACAGGGGTGATTTCATAGTTACACTGAAATGAGAATAAGGCCTTGTTCATGTTTGCTAAAGAGCACAAGGTTTAATTCTGTGCTGTTAGTAGTTACACCAAACTAGTCAAAGAGGGGCCTGTGCTCCTCCTGGGGCAGCAGCCCCAGGTCAGGGGAGGGAGAAAGGCAGATGTCCTGTCCTCAAACAGGTGGGAATTACCAGCCAGAAAATGCTCCCCCTGCAGCAGGGTAGTTAGGAACAGTGGAAGCTGCTGGGCACTCCACAGGCTGGAGCTTAGAAATCCATTGTGGAAAAGTACCAGCAGCTCAGGAGATGCTGCTGCTCTTTTTCCTGCCTCCCAGTGTTATCCCAGCTTCAGGTGTGATTCTCCCCTTCAGTTAAACCTTTGGGTCAATTAAACCTTGGGAGGGAGAGGAAATTCCCCTTAAGGAGCAGATGACAGAATCCCATTTATCTCTGGTTTCCAGGAAAAAAATGAGGGAAACAATCAGCTCTCCTTTCCCCTCCATAAACAGGTCCCAGGAGCTCATAAAATTGAAATAACATGATGAAGAACTGAAGTTTACTCAACAAAATAAGGTAAAATACTTTCAGCTTGCTAAAAAGGATTAATGGATTTCAATAACATATGCCAAATAGTTGTGAACAAAAAGGAAAGCAAATTATCAGAAAAAATGACAACTTTGAGAGCAGTTTCTGGCTTTTGTTTTCCAAATGGTGCTTTCATTTCACAGTGAGCTAAAAAATGCAACCTCGGAGGCTTTAAAGGACTGTAAAACCAACCCAGCTGGACAAAAGCTACTAAGTGGCCTTGAAATAAGTTTTCCAAATGTTCAGCTAATTAAACTTTTTTTCTGGAGGGGGGTTGTGTCAACCCAAAAATAGATTTTAATGCCTTTTTCCTTCACTTGCTGTGGCTACAAAGTGAAAAAAAAAATAAAATAGTCATGATTTTGCAGAGACCATCAAACCAGCAGTTCAGAATTTACTGCCAACTTAATTGGCTACATGGTGTTTAGATTCAATTAAAAAAAAAAAAAGGCAAAACTCTTATGAGCTTCTTTTTAAATCCTGCTCCCTTTTTTTTTAATGCTTAGGAGGCACATAAAATGCAATTCTCAGCAGAAGGATGGTGACTGGGAGAAAATGTAATAGATGGCCCACATTTCTTGTTGAAGTTCCCATTGATCAGTGTTGCTGAGACTATTTTTCTAATCCTCAGAAACATGAAGGAATTGTGGAATTGTCACTTCAGGTGTATGTGGTTCACCTCCTAAGCAAATAAACTCTGAGCTCCTGAGTAGCCTTTATTCAGGTTTTTCTTGGAAGATGGTGTAAAATGGGGAAGAATCAGGAACCCAGGTGTAGTGTTTTCTTGAACACAATTTTTCCTGGTGTTAACCACACCAGTAGTAGTTGTTTTCTTTTTTATGTCAGAATTTAGTGTAAGATAACTGCACCTAACACCTTCTGCTCAAAGAATGAGGCTTCAGCCAGTCGAGCATTAATTAGGAGGTGGTTACCCCACCTCCTCTCCACTGGAGAGGCAGCTTGTATTGGAAACCAAACCCTTTCACAAAGAAGGAAAAAATCCCATCTGTCCAAACAACGCTTAAGAAAGAGATTGATTATGTTTTGTTCGTGCTCACACCAGGAAGTAAAATTACCAGGAAGAAAATTGGTTCTGTCCTGGCTCAAACCAGGACATTGAATCTACAGGTAATAACGTGTTTTCATAATGAAGCCAGTGAGCAGGACAGGGTTTTATGGCCCTAATGGACATGGCAAAGCTGCTGAAGTGGTTCTGGCCACAGCTGTAGAAAGGTCAGGGAGTCACGGCCAGATGCTCAACCAGGACCTTGGACACAAAAACCTCTCTGGAATTCTAGATATGTGCAGAAAAAAATGGCCTGGTGCTCAAGGTGCCACCTGTACTGAGAAAACAATTTCTTTGCATGGTCAGGCACAGTCAGATCTGCATTTCAGCATCTCAACTGAAAATCATCCTTCCTTGGCAGGAGTTTCCAAAGAGAAAATACTCGAGATGTTGAGGATCTCGCATCTGCTGCTGCTGGGGTCATGTAAGTACCAGAAACAGGGGGCAGCTGGTCACTGAGAGGGCTGCTGGCCTGGAAAAAACTTCTGGTGGCCAGAAACAAAACTGGAACTGTGACATGGGAGTTGTCATTTCCTACTGCCCTCCCCTTTTCTAAACCAGAAAGCAAACCCCCGCTTACTGCCCAAAGGTGAAAACAAGCCAACAGAGGACGTGTGTACTTGGGTTCCTGACTATATTTTATTAAGAGAGAGAGGGGGAAATTATACTTGTGAGTGAGGAAACTGTGGTGATCCAGAATTTAGAATAAGAGTAATTAATAAATAATGGGTAGACTTGTGAAGAAAATGAATTTTTCAAAGACTCTAAAAAACTTATTCAGAGCTGCTGTCTGCTCACATTAGATTTATCAGAGGTTTGTTAATTAGCCACTTCTAAAATACCTTTTGCAGCTGCTCTGATATTAATGAGGTGGTTTGTTTCTCCTGCCCCTAGAAGTTCTCCTGGGCTACATTCAACAACCCTGGTTTGAAGAATAAGAAGGAAAATGGTGAGTTCTTAAGTGATGAATTCTACCAAACTGTCTTCAAGTGCCAGGATCTTTTTAAGCTCATGTTGGTAACGTGCTCCCCTGCTACATTCTCTTTGTGCCAAACATGCTGGTTCCCACTCAGGAACTGACTAATAATTCTCCATACAGCCTTTTGGGTGGTTTTTGCCCAGAAATCTCCTCCTCTTCTCCATTTAGGAATTCTATAAAACCCTTCTCCGTGGTGAGGGAAGTGGGATGGGGGAATTCAGCAAGAGCCTGAGGATGGTGGGCTAGTGAGGGAGGTGGACAGGTGGAGGAAAGTAGGGAGGGAAAGAAAAAGAACAGGAAATGGCAGGAAAAAAATGAAGTATGATTTACATGGAGTGTAGCACATGAGGAAGAGAAAGGAGTCACAGAATCAATGGTTAACCAATGGTTAAGATTGGAGGGGACCTTTAAAGATCAGCAAGTCCACTGGTTCCAAGCCCCGGCAGTGGGATGAGGGCAGGGAGGAGCAGGCAGTGGGATGCTCCCAGGCAATCCTGCCTCTGCAGCCACCTCCAGGTACTCAGCAACTGTCCTGGCAGCCACAACACAGTGACAAGCTCCTGGTGTAAAGCCCAAGCTGGAAGAGGTGTGGGTGCTTGCAGTTTACTCTAAGTTGCATTGATTAGGGTGACAATGTCATTTTGTTTCGTGCTGAACGATCCAGCGTTTGGAATCGAGAGCTGTCGGGAGCCAAACGACTTAGCAGAGCAAATTGAAAAGAACAGGGCTGTAAATTGCAAGGACTTCAGGTGGTGGTGAACACTGAGTGTGCTGGTGGGAACAGGGCTGCACACAAACTGCCCTGCCAGCCAAATCCCCATCGATGTGCTGACAAAGGATCCTGCTGA